GCTGCTGCTGTAGGCTCAGGCAAAAAAAAAACGGATTTTAGTGCATGAGCCCGGGGGTCCATCTTTGGACTGCTAGTGAAATACTACTTTGGAGGGTCTCTTACTGAAAGCTGTGGCAAAGCTTTGAGTAGTTTAGATTGAATCCAACGACAACTTCTACATTGGTGGTTCTCCTATTCAAAGTGTGGCCAACTGGGCCGTGGGGTTGTAGGGAGTTGGCATCGAGGGGCAAGTGCTCTGGTTTTTTGGGACTTTGGAGGCCGAAAGTGCTGAATACATGGAGCAGTCAAAAGCGCCCCAACTGGGCTGTGGGGTTGCAGGGAGGCCCAAATGGTTGTGGGGCTGCAAGGAGGTGGGAAGGCGAGAGGCAACTGCCCCGCGTTTTCGGGATTTGGTTGTGGGGCTCCGCGAGGTCCAGGTGATCTTGTCGTGGTATGCTATTTTCTTGTTGCGATTTGGTTACTCTAGGGCTTGTCGTGGTAACAAACCCCCTCCAGAGTGTGCGTTCTAACGATCGGCATCTCTCAACTTGCATTTTCTGGAGGATGGTATCCAGCGACCACTGGAGCGAATTCAGCAGCTGGCACAGAGCGTCTTTGTCCCGCGAGGGGTCGATGTGCCAAACCTGGATCGCGACAAGCCGTGGGACTACATCCCAGAGAACAACATCAAGGCCAGCGCTCAGGGATTGTCAGGGCAGGCCTCCGCGACTTGTCTTTGGTGGCCTTCTCTGACAGGTTGGGGACCTTGTGACCGGAGGTGACGTGGTCGGCGTGGTTCGTGAGAACGGGTCTCTTACCTGTAGCATGTTGTGTCAGCAGAATTTCTCAGAACGAAAGTTCATTCCCAGGGCCCCAACCAGCTTGGAACTGGCCAAGGCTCTTCAAGAGACACTTGATTATGATCCCGCCTGGCGTCAAGGGACGTACCTTGGTTGGCTCTTGGAATTGATACGAGATTCTGTTTTGTAGCTCTGCGATGAGCCCTGAACCATGGGGGCACGAAGAAGAGACTTTCCAAGCAGCTTGCCTTGCTCAGGGGTCACCAAAGTGATGCCAGCAGGGAAGTACACCATCGCGACACCTGTGGTAGAAGTGGAAGAGGCTGGCAAGACGATGAAGGTCGAACTGTTCCAGCTACTTGGTGCTGGTTAGTTGGTCGGTCTGCGAAGGCTTTGGAACTTAGCCACTTGTATTGCAAAGGAGATGGCCAGTGCGAGAGGCTCGACCTGTCGTTGAGCTGCCCTGCAGCAAAACAAGCTTCTGGCAGTCCGGCAGTTGAGCCCAACATGCCCACAGATCCCACAGCTGAGGAAGCTTCAAGGTAAGGAAGCCCTGCTTACCTGCGAGCGGGTGGCTTGGCGGAATTAGTCCTGTCCCTTCTACAGGATTAGCGAGTGCCGTTTTAGGCGCACTGCTGTTGCTTTCTTTTGAGGCTAGCAATCATCCTTCTGAGGTCATTGATGCCCTGTTCCCAGTCACTCTGGGCGGTACGGCCGCTGTGCCGGGAGCCTTCGGGTGCGGAAAGACAGTCATCTCACAGGCAGGGTCTAATCATCTGCGCAAGAAGGGACTGATCAAGCAGCGTGTTACTGCGCAGTAAGCGGTCAAGACGCATGGCAATGATGCTGAGTTCAGCCAGGCGTTGTCGAAGTACTCCAATGCCGACTGTGTGGTTTATGTGTCTCGACTAATCCAAGTCAAGCAGACGGCTATGACCAATGAAGCGCGGTGAAACCTCAAATTTGCGCAAGCATTTTCAAACTTGGACTGCAAAAGGGACTTTTGAACAATTTGCATGTGACATGCGCACAGCAGAAGGTCGGATGCGGCGAGCGTGGAAACGAGATGGCAGAAGTGCTCACGGATTTTCCGGAGCTGACGACCATGATTGACGGAAAGGCGCATGGGGTTGCAGAATTCGGTCGTTTTTGGGCCTTGCGGCAGCTTCAGGTGCCAAGCCCCACTCAGCAAGGGTTTTGGTCCAACGGTATCCACAGTGCAGGAAGAGCCGATCATGCAGCGGACAACTTTGGTGGCAAACACCTCAAACATGCCGGTGGCTGCGCGAGAAGCATCCATTTATACAGGCCTTGAGAGCACGGGCTGCCAAGAGTTTGAGCAACCTCTCCTGGGCAGGTGTGACGACCGCGGAGTACTTTCGAGATATGGGCTACAACGCGAATCGACTTGAACTCTTAGTTGTGGGCATTCTTAGCAGATCCAGCTGCTGGTGATGTTGACATCGTTGCTTGAGGTTGCAATGATGGCCGATAGCACTAGCCGGTGGGCCGAAGCATTGCGAGAGATCTCCGGACGTCTGGCAGAAATGCCGGCAGATGCTGGCTACCCTGCTTATCTAGGCGGGCTGTCAGTGCTGCAAAAATATGCCGAAGATTGCCGGGTTGGGGCCAGGAGCCCTGTTCCTGGCATGCAGGAGCTCGTTTGGCCTCCTTCTACGAGCGAAGCGGTCGCGTCCAGTGCCTGGGCAACCCGCCTCGTGAGGCTGGAGCTGACCTTGTGAACTGCAGATGACCTCGGCTGAGCTTCGCCTGACAGGGTTCGATTACCATCGTCGGCGCCGTGTCCCCACCAGGCTGGATGCATTTGGATTCAAGGCTTCTCAGCTTCTCAGCTCTTGCGTCTAAGATATCCTCATGTTGCCTGAGGTGGTGACTTCACCGACCCTGTGACTTCTGCAACGCTGAGTATTGTGCAGGTCTTCTGGGGCCTTGACAAGAAGCTTGGTTCTGATTCAGGTGCAGGAAGGCCTCATGTGGCTATGACGTTGCTGCTTGACGAGCTATGAGACTACTTGAGGAAGCTTGCTCAGCGAAAGCACTTCCCGGCAGTGAACTGGAACATCTCCTTCTCCAAGTACATCCGAAGCTCGGCACCGCAACAAGCTTGTTTATGGCAGGGCTGACTTGTTGTGGAAAGTTACATCACTCTTCACTCATTGTATTTGACATCCCCATGCATCATTACAATACACAGCGTCTCTGGAAGCCCGTTCGCTCCAGGCATCTTGGAGCCGTATTTCGAGAAATATGACACTGAGTACAGCTCCTCGATTTCTTAAGCATTGCCTTCACGGCTTAGCGGGTGGAAGCTGCAGAGTCTTGGTTCATTGTGCCGTGAAGCCAGTTGAATACAAGGCATGCTCCAGCAGAAGATGAAGGAGATTCTGCAGAAGGAAGATGATCTGCAGGAAATTGTGCAGTACCTTGGCAGCACGGGGGATGGATTGTTCGCTGTTGCCTCTGACCGTTTCATCTGCATGTGTTTTCTATGACCATGCCAAGTACAGTAACACACACGCTCTCTTCAGGCTCGTCGGAAAGGACTCGCTGTCAGAAGATCAGAAGTGCACGCTAGAGGTTGCCAAGATCATCCGTGAGGTGAGACCTTGCAGCGCCAGCTGATACCATTCTCTGACTGTTTATGCCGCAACGTTTTGCAGGACTTCCTGCAGCAGAATGGTTTCACTGACTACGATTTCATGTGCCCTTTGGCCAAGACCATTGGCATGATGAAAGTCATTGATGCTCGGCTTGCACCCGGAAGCCAAAGCAGATGCACTGAAAGCACAGGCTGTGGTTGCAGCTGTGTAGCCCAAGGTTGGATTCCACGAGGCCGCCCAGAAGATGATGGCAGAGTATTCCGGTGAGCACAAGGTTGGTTGGAACACCATCGCGGTAGCCATGAAGGCTGGGCTGTGACCAAGGCAGAAAGTAAGAATATTCCATGTGAAGCCTATTTGAGGACATGATCAAGAAGATCACGGACATGAAGTTCGAGATGCCCCGCCAGTCCGAGGCGACGGCGGGAAGATGCGGGAAGTGCTGGGTGCTGTGCTTGATTGCTCGTAGTAGCTCGTAGTATATGGTAGTTGTCTTCCTTGTTGTGTGTATTGGCTTCGTTACACTTCATACGTGGAAGAATGAGGGTGGCTGATTTAAAAGTTGCAGTAGTAAAGGAGTGCATTGCTGGGGCTCGCGTCCAGCATCCACCGCAATCCTGTAACACACACCAGTCGTGCGCGCAGGAGCACTTCAAGCGCACCTTCGTGTCTCTGCACGACGAAGTGCTCGCTGCCTTCCGCACATTGGCCGAGGACAAGTGAGGCAGGATCAGCAGCTTGATATATGTCGTAGGTCTTAACCACTCTGCAGTATATGTAGTTGCACGTGTACTGATTCCCGAAGCAACCCCAGGCAATGTCACTTGGAAAAGCTGCACTGGGTTTGACTGTGATTGGCTGCCGCAAGAGGCTCTCTCCCTGATCAACTTCGTCGGTGAGAGGAAGCAAGGCTAGGCAGAGGCTAGGCAGGTGCTCATCTTGAAGCCAAGCAGGCTTCGAGACCTGAAGCCATACCTTTCAGATCAGCATTGGAAGTGCACTTGCTCAACATTTTGACTTTGCTTCGTCAAGCTTGGACGAGCACGTGTCGGCTAGGTTTTGGCCCACAGGATCTTAGACATAGACCTGTGAGATTGATTCTGGAGATTCTGGGAGCTGCACATCGAGGGTGCCAGAATCGCAGCGTCGTTTCCCCTGCTGAAGCATGTTGAAGCCAGTAGTAGAGCCTGAAATCATGTACCAGTTGTTTGTTTAGACTTAGCCCCTTCAATGGTGATCCCTGTCCACCAGAGATGGGTGCTGAGAGCTTGTCTGGTGCGCCTGTCGACAGTCAACCTGACTCGAGGGTGGCAGATGGAGCGCCGATTGAACCAAAATATTTTGTCTTAAAAAAGTATAATCTAGGCCAGGCATGCTCTTTGGCGAGTGGGAGATGTAGCAAGCTGCCTGCTGGGCTTGAATCAAATCTGACATTGCGCTGCATGGCAGGTGCTTGCCACAAGACAATGCTTCGCCGAAGCCCCATCGGAAGGGGGAACATCATTGATCACACGCTGTACTGTATGAGTAGAATCCAAAAGATTACACGGCAGCAGAAGGTTTTGCTCAATCATTTAAGCAGCAATCAGCCCTTTGAGCTGCAGAATGGCCGGCCAGTGGGGTCGAAGCAGCTTGCCTTTTCTGACTTCCAGCTACGATGGACCTGTAGTGGGGGAAGTTTTCCAAAAAAGGCACTCCTTTATGTTGCAGCATGCGCATCATCTCCTGAAGAGTCAAAGCCCCGAAAGTTGTTTGTTGGCTTCGGCTGTGAACAGATGGACAGCCCAAGCTGCCTTTGCTTTTGAGGCCTTTGTTCCAGTGCCTGGCCCTGCGCAGCCGGCACCAGAAGGCTTCCGATTGGCACAGCAGGCGCCACTAGTAGTGCGAGTGCAGCGTGGGAACGGAGCTCATGGCTTACACAAACTACTATGCTCAAGTATGCTTCAGTTGGGTTCCGAAAGTTGCTTGCCGTGCCTCGGCTTCCCAGCAGGTAGCACACACGGTCGTCCTTCGACTCGACTCCGAGTTGCAGGACCAGAGTGAAGCCAACACGAACAGACTTACTTCAATGACGGTACGTTGAGGGTGCTGAGCACAAATGTAGTGCAACTTCGGGGCAAGTTTTTGGACCATAAAAAATCATTGGCTAGGGTTGCACGTTCAATCAACACGGGGCAGGTGGCTGACATCAAATGCACTTGCTCTTGTGCCCTCTCTCTCTCTCTCTCTCGCTCTCTCGCTCTCTTTGCATGTGTCTGCGGGCCCAGTGGACGCAGTTTGCTTTCACGAGAGACTGTCCTGATGCAGGCTTTCTCAATGCTCCGTTTCGGCCACGCAGGAGAAGTGCACCTGCATGCTTAAGAAACTCCCAAAGACGGGACTTGGAACTAGATCTGCGTTTGAAGCTGCTCCGATGCCTCTGTTCCGCTAAGCAAGGAGCCATACTGCAGCAATGCTGGCGCTTCCAGTGTTGGATGGTGCTACATCACCTACTTTGTTGGATATTGCGCCTCAGCTAAGCCCGCGACGGGCAGCCACTCTTAGTGAAGCCGTTTCGGACGTGAAGCCCGTGAACTTGGTAGTCAGCACCTTTGTTCTGCGGCGACCTCAGGTCCGCATTGGCAGCGATGCGCAGCTTCGTGTGGCAGACCCGTCAAGCCAGTCGAGCTATTGCAGGGCAACTTTGTTCACCAACAGGCTGCATGGGGGGCCTAACAATGCTGAGCGTGCTGTCGATTGTCTAGTTGCAACATCCGCCATGTGTTGGTAGATTTGCAGGAGGGTTCCGGCCTGTCTTGGCCTGGCACCCAGATGCGGCATCGCTGGCCTCAGTGTCACCTGCTGGTCACGTGGCAGTGCACAGTCCGGGCCTAAGCCACTTGGAGCTAGAATGGGTTCAGAGTAGAGAATCTAGATTGCAGGCCTGGTCAGCGAATCGACGGAGCACCTCCACGTTCAAGGGGCTTCTTGGGCTGCGATGTTGACTTTCAGGCGGGTGTCCACTGCACCTTTCGCTAAGGATGGGGTCTGGCCAGTAGCTGCTGTTGCGTGGCAACCTTGTGATCTGAGCAGCTTGGCCGTGGCTCGGCTGATGCTCAGCTGTTTTTCTTTGAATATGGAGTTTCTCCAAAGTATCTCTTTTCCAGGTCCTTCTATGAGGTTATCGAAAAGGGCCAAGTGTAGAAAACGCTGAGGTGGCCGGTCCTCTCGGTCTCTGCTTTTGGCGCCGCAAAAGCAGCTGGCAGAGGATCTGGTCGCTGCAGGGTGAGGTGACGAACCGAGCTTTAAATGTCATGCCGGGCTGTGAAGGTATGAATTCCCAGCAAGTCGGGGCCCGTCATGGAGCCCTCGACGCGAGCGGTGACATGAGATTTATTGCCCTTTATTGATGCGGACCCTGACAGCGTCTTGAGAGACTTAGATTTGGTTAGCTAGGAATGAAGATATGGATCCTTACCTTATGGCAGTCCCTTTTTGAGCCATTATATTCGTTCCCATTTTCTCGTAATCTCTATACACCCCAGTTTCCATTTCATGTTCGATTTGATTCTCCATTACTGGGGTAATGTACCCCTAATTTGGTGATTTCCCAACCAAAGGCAAGGAGATGTCTTGGGCTGCCACTTCCCAGGCCTTCGCCTCTTCAGCATTGGATTGGTCTCCCGATGGCCGGGCTTTGGCTGCTGCCGGCCCGCTTGGTGCCGCAGGGACCTTGGAGTGCTTGGAGTGCCCGCATGCAAAATGTCATCCTGTGAATGTGTTAGTGGGGGTGTTTCCGGAAGATGGGGTTGTGTGCAACCTACCGGGCCCTACTTGCCCCCTGTCCCTTACTGCCTTTGCCCCACTCGCCGGACTTGTCTCACTTATCCAGCTGCCCCACCCACTTCCGGCCTTGCTCTATTCTGCCCACTTCCCACTTGCCCCCCACGTGCGTGAGATGACTCAAGATAAAGTCTTGGCCGAGGCTGGGGTGGCGGACAATCCCCCCCAATGCCAACACCTCCATGTTGTTGGGAGAGGGTGGGGTAGGTGTCTGCAAGACATGTGAGCTCCTGCAACTCTGAGGTACATATACTGGGACCCCACAGCGCCCTAGTCGGTGATCAGGCCCTGTGCCTCGACGCATATTGCATTCCTGCTGCACAACTTGCTGTTGGAGGTGCTCCCGAGTCAGTTCATGCGCTTGCAACGATGGTGCAGCGGAGGCAGCTGGAGACGCAAGAGCCGGGAGAGTCTTTTTGTGTGAACGCGGTGCGCATTCAGAATGTGCTCCCATTCATCAGGGGGAGATGAGCTGCGAGTGCCTTCAGGTGAGGCAACATGCGTTGCATGGTCGCCGGACGCCGTGCTGCTGGCAGCCTGGCCCCCAAGTTGGCGTGAACACTGCTACCTTGCCGCGAAGTGACGCACCTCATGAGCCATTTTGAGCCTAGGTGCTGCACTGTCAAGAGGACAGTGAGCCTTCCGTCCGGCTTTGGAGCACTCGCAACTGGGAGGCGCAAGCCTCAGAGGCACGTTGAAGTCATGTTGAAGCGGACCCCTTTTGTGGGACAAGCGAAAGTTTCGTTAAACATGCAAAACTCATCGTTCCTGCAAATCATGCGTTCAGTTTGCACTACCCCTCCAAACAACAAGATCGGTGCTTCAGTGTTGCAACGCCCTTTTGTTGGAAAACGCGATTCTTGGAACAACTGACGTGCTGAAAAATAAGATAGCATTTGGTTTTGACCATGGCCAGACCACGTTTTTTTACCGCCTCAAAGTGAGCACCGTGTGTGCTATTGAATTGAGGTCGCCGCCGTGGTGGGTCTGGGCGCGCCGCCTGCAGGCCCTGAGCTAGGCAATCCGGGATCCTGCATCATGCTCATCCGCGCAAGGGACTCAACTAGACTCTGATACGGGCGTCGCCCTGAAGATTGACACTGCATGCATCGATATGCACCGAAGTTTCCAGCATGGTGTGCTCCGTAGAGAGGATGTGGCATGACGTGGTTTTTGTTTCATTTGCAGGTGCTTCACTTGCTTGGATGAGCTCTGAGCTGTTGCTAGCCACGGCATCCGTATTCCTCGTCGAAATTGCAGTTCGAGGCCCGCAGGGGCCAGATGAGAGGGTACCAAAAGCACAGGGAAGTCCTGTGTTCACGAGGCGGCGCTGCAGCGAGCATCGGTGCCTCGCGCCTCGGCGAGGCCTGAGTTTCATGAAACATCATAGTCTTCTTAGACACTGTTACCATGGTTCAAGCTCAAGCCTGGCTCAAGGATGGGTGGGAGCATTACGCGATCGAATTCACCCTCCTGCTTTAGTACCCAACTTCCGCTCTTTCAGGACACTGCCTTCGCATGGATGGCTGAGCCAGGGGTGCGTGCGGCAACACTTCCTGGCCAGGCACTGGGGCTGGCTATCGCTCTTCACAGTCTTAGTTACTTGACAGGTTATGTGAATGCCGGGCTGTGACGCGCTGGCCTTGTTCCGTTTCCTCATGTTCGCAGGAGTCGCGGAGAGTGCTCGAAGTGAGCGTTTGCCCGCGCTCGGCGCAGCGGCTGGCCGTGCGCCTCGAAGGTTGCAGGGAGGCGCGCGGTCCTTGCAGCTGTTTCTTTTGCTGGTTTTTGCATGCTTTTGCAGTCTGGCTGCAGCGTCAACGTGGTTACAGAATGCACTTGAAGATGTTGGCAGGTGCTTGTTTATGAGCGTCCAACTTGTGGTTTGGCGGGCTGGTCGCATCGAGAGCAACTTGGCTCACTATGCGTAGTGTGGGCACATCATGCCTTCATGCAGCATTCTCAAGCATTAACGAGCGACAGCAGATGTGCATGACAGATGCGCTACTGCGGACGTGGGGCCTGGACATTAGCAAACGTATGGGTGGTTGTCAAAATTATGGTCCGTTTTTGGGTCCCCTAAATATTAGGTGCCGTACTATACTAGGGACCCAAAAAGGGACCATAATTTTGACTATAGCTCATATGCGAGCATCCTCTGCTTCATTTCGCATGGTTTGTTTCTGAGAATGAAGTCTTCGGGGACACCTGGAACACAGAACTGCACCCCTACACTTTTCCGTACCTAACTCACTGACCCAGGCTGAGTCCCTGTGGCATCCTGGCGGCAGAAGGTGCCGTGCCGGCAGCACTGGCCTTTGCAGCACACGCGCCGCAACGAAGTGCTGCAGGTGCTTTCAGTAGCATAGGAATGCCTGCTGTCAAAATGTCAGACAAGGTATCTGACAGTCTGCCCTTTCAGGCTCTCTGCTAGCCGTGTATTGGCACTTGCACAGCGGACGGCATGAGGCTGGCCTCTGCCGAGATGCCTGTGAGTGTTAACAACGAGCATACACAGGGTTTGTAGTTTCTGACCTTAAGCTGTATGGTCCGCTCGCGGAGATCAAGCCAAGTCTCGTTTTAAGGGTGCATGAAGCTGTGGCTCATGACAAAGCAGCCCCAGCACAGGTGCGAACCTATCCCATGCACTTCTTGCCTTCGTCAGCTGGCTTCCCAGAGTTTGGTTGCTCGATGGCTGAGATCCAACAACACAGTACTGTACAGTAGAGTGCAGCACTTGCTTGCTTCCCAGGTCTTGGAGAACAGCGCCGCCAGCCCCCAAGATCACGCAGATCAGCGCATGGATAGCAGAATCTCCACTGCAGTGAGGCTACGAGCGCGCTCTTCTGACTGGCTGACTCCACCAGAGTCTCCTAGTGTTTCCTGCTTGTAGCATCGCAGTAAAAGAGCTTTGTCCTGACCATGTGAGTCTCTGAAGAGTGCTCAAGGCAGTGCAGTGCTGCTTATGCTGATCCTTGGTTACGTTTGGCTCAGCAGACAAGGGATGACAAGGGTGCATCGCGGGTCATGGATCATGAGCGCAGCATAAAGCCAAACTGCACCTGGATGGTAAAGTGAGTAGTTTTGGAGGCAAGCTGATAAATACCCATTTCGTGGCCTCCACGTAGCATGCAGCGTGAGTGGTGAGCTGCCCGCGTGGCTGATGCCAACATGGCAATCGCGACGTCGCTCAAAGACGAGGAGGTGAAGTTACACTTGCATCATCTTGCATCTACAAAGCCAGCAATTTCCCGGAATCAAAAAATGCAAAGTTTGTTGGGAAAGGATGCTACTTTTGCTTCCGTCTTCCCAGAATCTTCAAAACTCGATGCTCTGGGCTGAGAACGGCAAAGGCAGAAGCTAGAAACATAGACATAGACTACCTTCCCAATTGACTACGTGCAGGCGATCAGGCCTTTGTGATGCTTTGTGGTGAGAAGTGCTGAGGCCTACAGCATGGCGCTGGATGACATTGGAGTTTTTGAAGAGGCTGGATTCCAGCGTGACCCGGCCTCAGTCAACTTGGGGAATTTGTGTTGGGATGTTCCTATAATAGTATAAGGATGTATAAGGATTATAGTATGATTATAGTATTTTGGGGTCTATTGGGGTCCCCCTTTTTGGGAAACTACCACATCACCATGCAGCAGCTGGCCCTCGTGCGCATCCAAGTAGGCGATGGGGCACCGAAGTCTATTCTCAATTGCCTCAGGATCACATTGGCATGCTGGCCACGTATGGCTTTGTGGATTTTGCCGGAATGCGCACTTTGCTGCAAGGCCATCATTGCCGGAGACTGCAGGGCATATTTAGACGCTCCGAGTTGTCTTGTGAGCAGCGTTCGATGATGCGATGCTCTCTCATGAGCGAGTGTACCGATGCTTTCTTCGTCTGCTCAGTATCTGCAATCAGGCATAGCTGAGCGGCTGCGGCCAGATTGCACAGACCTCTCGCAGGCTGGACAAGTGCCATCATAAAGAGCATGGAAGCAACGAAGTCATCCAAGGCACGTGGCCGAAACTTGTAAATATGCCAGAAGAAAGGCCTTGGCCGGAATGCGCTTCCTGGATCTGGGCCCGGAGCCTTGGTCAATGGACGCTGCAGATGTACCTTGTAGGCTAGAGCTGTTGACTACCCGCAAAGCAAGACAAACAGATTCTTGGGACATGGTCTCGCTGCCCATCTTCATTGCCTTGTGCAACGGATCCTGACTACTGAGTCAGTGCAACTTTTACACCAGTGCCATATGTGATCTGACTTTCTCATCAGTATTGAAATGGAATTGTGTGGCTTAGCGCACGACACGATAGGATAGATAGGCTACTTGTAGGTGGTGCGGCCAGACTGCGCTGGTGAGGTTCAGGTGACGGCCGTGCAGTCATCGGTGCCGCAGTGCTGGTGCAAAACCCTAGTGCAAGCTTAGCACTGTGTGGATGCTATTCTGGATGTGCTGTAGCGTGAATAACTTGAAGCGGCGGCATCTGTGCGGTAAATGTGGGCAGAATTTCTCGCAGCATACCGCAGGATCCTCCTCAGACTTGTGATTCACTTTTAATTTGCAGTGAAAAGACGCTAGGCCCCAACTCTGGTGGAGTCCGCCGGAGTTGAACTCTCAGTGTTCAGCACCAAGTTGCTCTTGGAAATAGGACCAGATTGTTTGTCTCTTGCTTGCTGGTTTACATACATGATGTTCGAGATGTCCGCAGATTGTCTGTGGTGTGGCTAGCTGACAGTGACGTATAGTCACGTTTCAGGTCTCGGCACGAGCTGGCAGACAGAAACAGGCCACCAGCTGTGTCAACTATGCACCACGGTAGCTCGGTGAGGTGGGAAGTCGGAGGTCTTTTGTTCATGCTGGAAGTCTACTTTAAATGCAACAGGACCCGTGCACAAGGATTTTGCGCATGGTGCAAGGCGCCGGCTTCCTGACAGGATCCAGGAGATTGTGCACTTTCATCAGACCGACATTCTGCAGGCCTGGTTGCGAGTGATTGCAAGCGCATGCGGTAAGGAGTGTGAAGAGTACGCAAGCTCGACAAGTACGATCCAGGATGCTAAACCCATGTAAATTCACATTCAAGTATGATGTGCCATGTTTCTCGTCAAGGGCGGATTCCGCAAACCTTCCGCTAAGTTTCTGTTCCAATGCAGCTACGTGTGGAATTTCAATCGAGGATGAAAGAAACTCGTTGCGCCCTTCGCCGACATGTAC